TGAAAGAAATGACTGAGAAGTTAACAAAAAGTATTCACGATATATATAGCATCATATTAAACTGCAGATTCTACATTTACAGTGTAAATAAGAGACTTGCACATTAAAAAAAAAATTACCTAACAGAAGCATTTTTGTCTGGTATTTATACGATCAATAATCTTTAACGTAAATCGATTTTATGAAACCAAATGACTTCTGTTTTGTCTCATTTGTAGGGTTTCCCTTAGGATACTGAGTACTAAAGGAAATCAAGTCACAGAAGTTTACGAAATACCTAAATTTAGGGCCAGTCGTGAATCGATGGTTAGCACGCCTAAACTGTGAATCCGAAGATTCATGGTTCTTGACATGTTTTGCATTTTTGGATTGTGCGTGCGGTATAGAAGTGGCAATCAAATCCTATTATTTGGTGAGACGAGAATAAACACAGGGTTATTTGTGGCTGTTGATTAGTTGTCGTCTCTCTAGTCACTAGTCTATCAGTTCAAAATTAGGAAATGCAATGCGCAGATAGCCCTTGTGTAGCTTTGTTCGAAACTCTGAGACAAATAAACACATAACTAAGGATATAATGAACAGTAAGCTAAGTATATCGTTGTTATACCTTTATACGTTTAATAATACGAAAATGTCGCTTTATAAAGCATTCATTAAAATAATGGAGCCCCCCCTTCAGTGGTACAGCGGTATGTCTGCGGACTTACAACGCTAGAATTCGGGTTTCAATACCCGTGGTGGGCAGAGCACAGATAGCCCATTGCGTAGCTTTGTGCTTAATTACAAAGCAATAAAATAATGGATTGAATCAATTTCCTTAATTCCAACGATCTTGTGTTCTGAAGTGTAAAAATGTATGCTTCAACTTTTTATAGGTTCGACTTACTGCATATGGCTTTTGTCAAATTATGGAAATCCGAAAATGTGGGGCCCGGCATGGCCAGGTGGTTAGGACGCTCGACTCTCAATCTGCGGGTCGCGGTTTCGCATCCCCGTCCCACCAAACATGCTCACACTTTCAGCTGTGGGGGCGTTATAATGTGACGGTCAATCCCACTATTCGTTGGCCAAAGAGTAGCCCAAGAGTTGGCTACTCTTTTAAGTATAAGTTCTGGTACTGAAAATACAGCAGGTTTCTTTACTGATATCTGTTCTACCCATGTCGTGAAATAATGCGAACTAGGCCTAAACAATAAATTTTCTTTGTTGTGAACAGGAATAACAGATATTCAGAGGTAGAAGTAACTTCACTTTGAAAAGATAGAATCTCTAGTTCTTGATAACGCCGAAAGGGTGTACTTAGTGGTCGACAGAATTGAGCCGCACGCACCCTGGTGGCATAGCGATGAGGACTTATAATATTAAAAATCGGCTTTCGATACCCGCGATGGGCAGAGCAAGGATAGCTTTGGACTTAACAACGATACAAAAAACCCTTCATTTTTCTTTTTTAATCCTGATTCTTATTCTCAATGTTTTCATCTCATACTCTTAAGTACTTCTACTGCAACTTATAATATCAATATCATAACCATTTAATCTGTTCTCCGATGGCACAGCGGTAAGCTTGAGGGCTTCTAACGCTAAAAATCCATGCTTCGGTACCCGAAGTAAGCAAAGCACAGATAGCCCTTTGTGTAGCTTTGTGCTTAATAACCAACTAAATAGAACAGAGCCGTTTAGTAAACGAAGTTTTTACTCAACTCTAAGAATTTATTAGTGGAAAGTAAAAAAGAATGTATGTTATATCTAGTTCCGACGACGCCTTTTACCCAGTACCAGGTCTCATTGGGCCAAATGGGATACGACAGCACAGTAGTGTTTGTGACGCTATTTATATTATCAAGCTAGTCTTATTGTTTCCGGAGCGAATCAAGAAACCGCGAGGTCAGCTGGAGAAGACAACGTTAGTAATTCTAAGAACTTATGAAAGTAAAGACGAATATAAAATATTATTTCAATCTCACTATATCTGTTATTTCTAGTGAAGGTTAAGTAACTTAACTACAATAAAGCCTGCAGCTGCTTTCATAGCAACTAAGATTGGTCGAGTTAAATCTTTGCGCGGTATTAAGCTATGCTGAGATGTTTCAAGCACTAAGCAACAGAAGTTGGAAATATGGAACATAATATGTTTAGATATGCAATACAACAAGCTTTTCTATGATATACCAAATAATGACCACAGGATAAAACATAGAGATGTTGTTGTTGTTTTAGTATAAGGATACACAATGGGATATCTGCTCTGTGTACACTGCAAAGAATCGAACCCCGGATCTTAGCATTGTAAGTTTGGAGGGATGAATACAAGAAGATACAGCCTAAATGTTTTAAACTAAACGTCAGTGTAACTGTCATAGAGTAGTTGCAGAAGTCAATGTTATAGTATTGTAACTGCTGAATAAACTGTGCTGTCGACCGGGCAGGGGTGGGGGACATGCCCCCACTGGAGAGCTCCCCCGTATCTGAGATACAGTCTTATAATATTTCATGATTCTCTACATTGTAATTCACACTGTCATAAGAGTGGTAATGTTTCTGCCCCCCCAAACAAACTCTTTCCCCCTTATGTCCCCAAACAAAAAAACCTAGAAATGCCACCTTTTCGGGGATCGATCCCAGTATGAGAGGCGGCCGCCGCTTTCAGTGTTGTAGGATTTTGTAAGATTCACGTTATCTAGAAAACGACTAAAAACTAATCCACAATGGGGGGAAAGTATATTTTGACATGGTAATCATTAATTTTTGTTTATGAGATATATTCAAGCACAATATATCGTCATCATAGATAATACAAACTTATGCGCTTGATTTCTCAACCGAAGCTGTAGTTTGAGTTCTGTGATGCGTCGGAACACCTTGTAGATGTAGAAATAAATGGTCACCAAAGTTCGTTCTACCTTCACGCAGTATCTTGTTAGACGTGTCTAGTCCATTACAGATTCTTACCATATCAGTATCTTTGGATACACTGAAGACACACATATATATAAATACAATAACAACGTGGTATACCTTAAGTTGTGTGTTCAATCTATATAAATACAATAATACTGTCTGTTGTCTGTCCATGTAATTACTTCGCTGGGTTTGGATGGACCTTCACCAAAATTGTTATGGAGGTTCATTCGGTCCGTGCGGGGGTTCATACAAATTTTCAGTTTTTCATTTTGCATTCATGGGCGTTTTTAGCCACTACTTCGTCCCCTGTCAATGGATCTTCACCAAATTTGGCCTGGAGATTCATTGTGTCCATGGAAAGATACATACAAATATTCAGTTTTGTATTTTGCGGTTTTATTGGGCGTTTTTGCGTTTTTTTACCATTACTTTGCCCCCCTGTTGATGGATCTTCTCCAAATTTGGCATGAAGGTTTGTTGAGTCCATGCGGAGATACATACAAACTTGCGGTTACATATTTTTGTCTTTTGCAGTTTTAATGGGCAAATTTTCGTGTCCTAAGATAACCTTTCATTAATCATGAATGTATATAACTTCCGTCCAGGGGACAGGTACTCCAGCTAGAATTAATATATAGGACAGATTGGAAAAGCAAGTTTCTTATTTTCTACTGAACTACAGGTGCTCAATAAAAGTCCAGAGATATAGCTTTTGACTGGATTGTATATTTTATGATGATGATCACACGAGTGATTGAAATGTTGTAATTAAGTTAAACAAAAAATCAAAATAAACAATCCACTCAAAAGCCGTATGTCTGGACTTTTCTTTAAAGTGTGTAGTGTTCGGGGAGAGGGCAGTATCTGTTTTACCTAAATCGTAAATGCATAATAACCGTTGTTGTTTTTTTTTGTGTGGGCAATAATGTAGTTGGACTGAAGGAATTTTTGAATTTCAAGATCGCAGTGGTAAAAGGAGGCTTCATTCAGTAGACGGAAAATTATAACACGTTTCTAATAGCAACACAAATAGAAGGTCGGGTTTATTACGTAGAGAGGGAAGGGGTGTAAGTGTAATACCTCGAGTTGATTGTACGAAAACCAAGAAGTTGTATGTGTTCGCTAAATGTAACCTCAAAGGGCTGTACTTGTGACGTGTGGGTAGCTATGGTAGAAATTAGATATAAACGTGGGATTTTTAATAGCAAAACATAAATGTTGTTTTATATTGATATCCTACAAAGCTGTCCGGTTAAAACTAAACTATATTTTATTACACAATTTAAATAAAAGTGTCACACAAACGAATGTTATTATATTGTTTAGCTCACTTGTGCTCTGGCCTCCTATACCTCAGCGGTACACTTGAGGGTTTATAACGCTGAAGTTCGAGTTTCGATCCTTGTGATAAGCACAATAAGATATTTGTATGCAGAACCTACGTGTTAAACGCTTGTAGCTCCTTAGCTTTTGCATTTATTGATTCCCCCCTCTGGTGGTTCATCGGTAAGTCTGAATGTTCACAACGCTAAAAATTTGGGTTTGATACCCGTGGTGGGCAGAGTACAGGTAGCCCAACAAAAAAAAACAAAAAACATTTCTATATTATCAGTCGTGTGCTGATTGAGTTCATTGGATTTACCAACATTATGCTTAATAACAACAAAAACTAGCTTACAATCAGTATTTAAATTCAGTTTCTAAAATCGAGCATGTGAATAGACTCAACAGAGCGTTGGAGTAGGCTAGTGTTACTTTATGACTAGTTTTCTGTAGCATATTGACTTGTCCTTCAGGTTCTGACGTTGCTGTGGCAAGTTGTTAATATACTGTTCGCACAACCAGTCGGCTGCAGCTGTGTAAGAAACATCCTACACACAGGATTTCACAAACGTTGCTGAAGGCAAATATTTTTTCATTTCATTAACGAGGCCGGTTATAATTCAGTATGTTATCGTTTGTGAATGATGCCCCAAAATTTAACACCGTATTTAAATAATAGAATTCCCATTAAATCAGACAAAAAATAAGTGGTGCATCACACGAGTTGCGCACCATTTCCACTGCAGCAACCCAGCCGTCTCTATGAGCAAGATCATCGCCCTGATACCGAGAATTTGTCCGTCTCTTCCCGACGGTTGTATCCGTCGGTATCTTGAAGTATACAATTCACATTAACAAGGTGCCGGGACTTAACTCCGCGTAGTTTAAAATCTGTGCATGTGATTGCTTCATTGTTTATATCTCGCGTGAGGATTGGTCATATCGGATCTTGTGTTGTTGCTTTTTCAGGCCGATAGCTGCAATGCGATATACTAGAACTGACGGAGGCAGCGACACAGGCGGATCGCTTACTAGTGTAAGAGCTGTGATCTATAGGTGGAGGTGGCTCTGTTCTGGAGGTTTCATAGTTACTGCACATTGTAAATGGCGACTATGTGGTCTTTAGATGATCAGGGGACTCAACAGCAATTAAACAGAATGAGCCAAAGGTCATCAGGAATTAAAGCACCCACCAAGATAGCAAAACCTACAACCTTACCTACCAAAACACCAACGACGGGAGGGACGACACCAGCGCCACCTCACACCTCTCCACCCTCTATTGCGGCATCCGCTGATATACGATCAGGTGAGTTTTATATAATATAAGTAATATATTTAGATATATAAATTTCATTACACAAAACTGTTCCGTACAATAGAACATTCCTGAATAATTTTTTGTAAAAGAAAAGAAAACAGTTCCATGACGTTTTATTTCGT